GCGTGAATATAGTCCTCCACCCTTTTTGAGTCTTCTATTTTTAAAGAATAATTAATTCTAAAATTTAATTAAAGTTTTACACTGAATGACATTTGCATTTATAGGATTATTTGAAATTTATTACTTTTGAATTTCAGTTATTGGTCTTTGTGAAAAATTATTTCTGAATTTCTTACTTTACTGATAATTTTTCAGCAGCTTAAGACACAAACATACTAGGCATAATCATATTTTTTAAAAAAAATTTTTGTAATTATATATATCTTGAAGGTAATAAATAAAATGGTTGTTTGTATAACTCCCATCTAACATGAAAGTTGATGGGATGTCTCCAATCATAGCCGAAGTATAAATGAGATTGTTCTATACGTAGTTAGATCAGCGGTTCCCAACCCTATGTCCGTGTAGCCCCATGGTACCCGCCGATCATTTAACATGATTTAGTTAGGTGGGGCAATAAAAATGTTTTAGTTTTCAATAAAATTCTATGTAAATATTTTTTCATTTTTAATGAAATAGAAATTGTATCCAACACAGATACCAGCGCAAAGTGAAATACAACCAATCTCTCTTTTTTTTTTTTTTTTGTGCATCTATTAATAACTATATCCAACTATAAATTCATCTTGAAAAAGTAAATGGTGCCCACCATCCAACAGATATTTTAGAATGTGCTCTTAAGATATTTATTTAAGACTTAATTCACTATTTTTATAATAGATGGTGTTACTGATCGTATGTTTTCACCTATTTCAGTTGGGGAAAGACTTGGGTGTGTTCAACTGCTCGGTTAAACAAAGACGAGTGTTCAGAATGAAAGTTTCGCTTCACACATTTAGTTTCTTTTTTTTTTTTTTTTTTTTTTTGACAATTTTATACGAGAAAATTTTCTTTTTTAGCGATGTCTGATTCAGATGTCGATGAGGAATATAGTTTAGGTTCTTCGGAGTTCAGATACCAATATTTCTAACGATGAATATACGGAAAATGATAGTAATATTTCTTCGTGTAGAGATTGGAAGCTGGTGTGTTTGGATAACTTTCCTCCTGCCCCTTCAAGGTTTCTGTTTCAGGAAAGAAAGGAAAAGTATACGACGTGAGACACGAGCTTATTGCAAAGAGTGCGATATGAGCTTATGTGTAGTACCATGTTTTGGCATATATCATAATGTAAATGATTTGCAAAATTTGAATAATCAGAATCATACTGTTGTGTTAACATTGGTTACATACAACATTGTACAGTGGATGGAAAAAAATATGGAAACACCTTGTGAAATGCATGTTTGAAAAGAAAGATTGATTTTAATAAAATATGTAAGTGGCGCTGGCGTTTTTGACTACTGACGCCACCTATACAACTTCGTAAATGTGCTAAACAGTTCAGTTGTTGTCTGAGTACTGTTATGTGAGGTTGTCATTGCATTATGTCAGAGTTAACAGACTTCGAACGTGGGCAAATTGTTGGAGCACGTATGGTAGGTGCTTCCGTAAGCAAGGTAGCCGAGGTGTAAGTGTTTCAAGAGGTACTGTATCGAAGATTTATTCCGCATATTTGAAAAGGCGGAAAAACAACATCTACTAAATCACAGCGCGGGCGAAAGTGTGTCCTGAGTGATCGTGACAGACGATCATTAAGGGCAATTGTGACGAAAAATAAGAAACCACAGCTGCAAAAGTTACTGCTGAAATGAATGTTGTGTTACCGAACCCTGTGAGTACCAAAACATTAGAAGGGAAGCTTCATAAAAGGGAATTGCTGGCCGTGCTGCAATCGAGAAGCCACTCATCAGTGATGCTAATGCCCGTAACAGGAAAAGGTGGTGTTTAAGTCATAAAGCCTGGACTGTAGAGCAGTGGAAGCGAGTAATATGGTCTGACGAGTCTTCTTTCACATTGTTTCCCACTTCTGGCCGAGTTTACGTCTGGAGAACGCCATCTCAAGCTTATAATACAGACTGCTTGTTGCCAAGAGTGAAACATGGCGGGGGTTCTGTTATGGTTTGGGCAGCCATATCGTGGTTCTCTGGTAGCCCCATGATAACTGTGTCAGGGCACATGACTGCCAACCCTTTGTGAACATTTTGGCCGATTAAGTTCATCCCATGGTACAAACTTCGTTCCCCGATGGTGATGGTGTCTTCCAAGACGACAAAGCCCCTGTTCACACAGCTCACATTGTCCAGGACTGGTTTTCTGAGCACGGGAATAATTGTCCCATCTCCCCTGGCCACCACAGTCACCAGACCTGAATATTATCGAACCTTTGTGGTCTACATTGGAACGGAAAGTGCGTTCTCGTTATCCACCGCCAACATCGTTATCTGAACTTGCCACCGTTTTGCAGGAAGAATGGTATAATATTCCCTTTGCAAACATACAGGAACTGTGTTTATCCATTCCGAGAAGACTGCAAGCTGTTTTGGATGCCAATGGGTTTCCTACACCATATTAAGCAAAGAAACATGTTTTTTTAAAGGTGTTTCCATATTTTGTCCAATCCCTGTATATCATAATGCTTTATCTTCAAAATTGTGTTTAATTTGATGTAATTGAATAGCATGTGTCTGAAATCCATTTCTTTTTTTATGCTTGTGTTAAAATAGTGAATATATAGGTTATTGCATTTAAAATTTTATTTATTTTTTACTAAATAATCATTTTCTGACTTTTATACTGATATAAAGAATAAAATTAAACTGTCAAAAAATTTTCATTTTTTGTACTTTTTTCAGAAATATATGCCACTGTTAAGAGGTTAAAACACTTTTACTTAATCTGTGTAGTGCCATTCAGGATCACATTTCAACCCACAATAAGCATCTTTTACACATTTTGCTAGTTTTATTTACTGATAGCTACTAGATTAATTTCGTTAATTTCTTGAGTATATGTATATGTTTACTATAGTTGCACCAAAGTTGCTATTCACACTTTTACACTTCTTTATCATGTATCAATGCAGAGCTGAGCACATGAACACTTAAGAATCTTATTCCATCTTCATAATGAATTATCATGACACTGTGTAAATGCAACAGAATCACTTCAAAGTATTCATTCTTTAAAGCAGCTGCATTATTTTCTGTAAGCATGAAGAAGTTGAAACTCAGAATATCTAATGTAGGCAGATTTCATTGTGCTCAAAATCTATTAGACATATTTATACTCAAGTTTTATAAAGTGTACATCCAAAAATCTTGTCTTGGTGTCTGCAATTTCATTTTTAAATACTTCAAAACCAGATATTCCCAGCAGTAATTTTATAAGCAGACTGTCAGGAACCGATGATGGACATGCACACTTCAGCCTAAGTGGCATGCACTGTCTTTCGCTTACAACAGACACCTACACACATTCCAAAGAAGGCAAAGCTACGAGTATGTTGTATGTATATTACACTTCTAGGAAAGCCAGAAGTTTGATATTATTATATTAAAATTGTGTACTGTATATTTTTTTAACATGTTCATGCTGTAGGCAGTAAATGAAGTGAAATTGGCAGTAAGTGAAGTATTTCTCAGTTGCAAGGCCATATTATGTAAATATTAATTATAAAAATAACACACAATAGTACATACTTCAAAACCTTCATAGGGACTCAAACGAAGCCATGAAAGCTAAGAATTTTTAATTAAAGACAGTAAAATGTATGAAGTTATGTAATTTTTCATGTAAAAATATGTAATTATGGTAACATTTTTCATTCATGTTAAATTTATTTTTTAGCAACAAAGATCCCCTTCTTCACTTAATGCTTGTGAAACTCCTGATAAATCTCCAGATGATCTAAAGAGTAAAGTTGCAATGTATATCGGAATGTATAAGGATGGTATGCTGTTTTTATGTAATTGGCTTGCATGATTTGTTTCTAGTGGAATGCACAAACAGAGCCTTTTATATACGAGGGCTATCCAGAAAGTAGATTACGTTTTGGAATAAAAAAATAAACAAAGTATAGGAAACAAATTTTATTATATACAGATGAAAGCCACACTCAAATACTACTTTTCTACATAGTCACCATACAAATTAAGGCATTTATCGTAGCGATGTACGAGCTTGGAAATTCCTTCGTCGAAAAATTCGGCCGCCTGCGCCTTCAACCACTTCTTTACCTCTTCTTGCAGCTGTGCGTCGTCATCAAAACGCTGCATAGCCAGCCACTTCTTCATTGCTGGGAATAGGTGGAAGTCCCTCGGTGCCAGGTCGGGACTGTACGGCGGATGAGGAAACAAACTCCCACTTAAAAGATTCAAGAACTTACGAGTGACATTTGCCGTGTGGGGGCCGGGCGTTGTCGTGAATCAACAAGATCTTAGAGCTCAACATTCCTCTGCGCTTGTTTTGAATTGCTCTTCTGAGTTTTTGGAGAGTTTGGCAATACCTTTGAGAGTTTATTGTAGTGCCTCTTTCCAGGAAGTCCACCAAAAAAATACACACTTTTCTGTCCCAAAAAACAGTCGCCATCATCTTCCTTGCCGACATTGTTTGCATGCATTTCTTGGGTTTTGGGAGAACTTGTGTGCCCCCACTGCATTGATTGCAATTTCGTTTCACAGTTCACATGTTTCACCCATGTTGTCGTCACCAGTAACGATGCGATCGAGTAAAGAGTCACCATCATTATGGTAAGCGTCCAAAAAGTTCAACGCTGCAGCCATTCGCTGATTTTTGTGGTCCTCTGTCAAGATTTTTGGAATCCATCTTGCACAAAACTTGTGGGTAACCAAGCTTTTCGCTGATGATTTCGTGCAACAAAACTTCGCGAAATTTGTGGAAAACTCAAAGAAAGTTCCGTTATTGTGAAATTTTCGATTTTCACGGACTTTAGCGTCGACTTTTTCGAGAAGTTCGGCGGTCACTATGCTGGGTCTCCCACTTCGATCTTCGTCGTGAACATTGGTTCGGCCATTTTGAAATCTTGTGACCCACTGACGCACTCCACCTTCAGTGATAATGTTGTCCCCATACACTTCACTTCACGAAGCTGCCGATAGATTTCTATCGGTTTACAGTTTTTTGCAGTCAGAACCTTATTACTGAGCGCAGCTCGCGGGATTTTCAATTAACGCAGACATTCAAACCGTCACAGTATCTGAACGGAGCACAGCACGAACCCTCTCACTAGCACGGCTAGATGCAGACTGAGCTGCGCAACGCTCTGACCCCAAGATGGCAGCGCTAGCCCCGCCCCTAGCGGACACAGACGGAAACGTAATCTACTTCCTGGATGGCCCTCGTAAATGTATATATGTAATGAAACAATACCTAACAATATTGATGCCATAGAATCTTGAAGAGCAAACTGGGCATTCAAGGCAGATTAAATATCCATCTTTATATTAATTGACATTCGGCCAGCCACAATTCACTTAGCACTCTAATCATGCCTATTCAAGAACATTTACATTTTTGATACTGTAGCGATAGGAAGAGAGCAGCGAAGCAGCGTTAAAAGCAAAGTGCACAGTTATACAATATGGCAGCTTATTAAGAGAAAGTTTCGGTTTAGGTTCTGAATTAGCTATGTCATCAGCATTATGCAAGTTATATGATATGGATTGATCTAGAAATGACAGAATCCAGAAAAAGTTACTATTTTTAGAATAAAGAGGAGAATCCCAAATTAAAAATGAGGAATTAAGAGGCTGTTGCTAGCTTTAGTTATAATTTTAATTTATATATTTTTTAGCTTTCATATCCCCCCTTCCTTTTCAAATAGAAAAATGCTTGGTGGGAGTAAATCCCTTTTAAAGAAAAGTGTTAAAGTGGTAGGAAATGAAGAGAGACGTAAATCATAAAACTCTGATCAATATAACTCATACTATGTGTATTACTCTTTGTAGCCTCTCCTTAGGGAGTATACAAGCAGTGATAGCACATGCCTGCCACATGCCTGCCATCTCCCGAGGAATATTCCTAATCCCTAAATTTAATTTTTTCACTTAGGAGAGTCAACTCTGATCATGAAATGACTGAGTAATACTCTTCCCACCAGTTGCATTCCTCTGACCAAGGATGTAGCTAGAGTTTCCAGTGCCTGGGGACAGCTGAAGAATTTGTGCCCTTTTCTATGTGCCAAGAATGGAAACCATTTCATTAAAAAACTTCGTAGCATCAATTTAGTGCCCCTTGGATGCTGCGCCCGGAGACAGATGTTCCCCCTTGCCCCACCCTAGCTACGCCACTGCCTCTGACCATAGTTTCAGCACAGAATGCTACTTTACACGCCTACACCACATACATTTAAATTTTTATTATTATTATTATTTTGCTATTGTAGGGTAAAAGTAGATTCTTTTTGCTAAAATTTTGTGATGTAACTAAAGGATACTAGTTATTTCTCTTAACTTGAATATTAATTTTTAAAATATTTATTTATATTTCAAGTACATGATGTAAAAGAATTTTTTATGGCCATAACACTTAATTGCAACTTTATCATACAATAATAAAAACCAGTTAGTTTTTACAAGGAACAGAGGTTTTAATGTATAATTGCATTTAAAGCATTCCATAACTTCCGCATGTAGTCACGCTAGTTTGCTTGTTGAGGACCTGCCATTTTTGTCAAAGTTTAAATCTTGACTAACTTATCTCTTAGAGACTTTAAGAAAATTTTTGCATTCCATGTCCAAATATTATTATAATCCTAAATTATATTTTTATATGTTATTTTTTTTATATTTGAATATGAGAAAGTTCATGAAACAGATGATGGGGGATAGTGAAAACCTAAGCACTACATCCCCAAAGCACTTCATTTGCTTTCTCTTTGCAGTGGCAAATACTGTTAGTATTCTCTAAAATTTTTCTTCTGTTTGATAACACTACTGCTTTCTTCTCAAAAGGCTTTTCTCTCATTAAATCTTTTTCTCTTTGAAGGGGGGATATGTAAAATATAAAATATGAAATAAAATTATTAAACTTAATTGCAGTTAGTTGGCAACATATTTTCAGATTCGTAAATTCTAGTTAAACACATCCCTACTTCAAAGGATATGCTTTTGCAGCATCACTGTGCCGTATATTATGTCACTTCTGTCTCTGTACTGTGACATCTGTAGCAGTCACTGCTTAATTAACACAAGGATTTTCCCACTATAAATAGTACTAAACTGAATATGCATTGCTTTTTCTCGCTTGCTGTTGCCTGAATGACCTGTGTGTCTTGCTTCGCTGCTTTCTTCATTGTCTGGAAAGTTAATTGTATGTATTGAAATTGTGGAGCATGTGTAGCACCTCAAGTGTCATATCAGTTTTAACCAGAAGTGTATTTCTGAATAATTATTCCTGTAAAAAATAAATTTGATATTTTAACCAGCAAGTCGGGTGATTTTCGCACCAGTTCTAACAACAGTATTCTCGGCTATGACTCAACCGTCTTCCCCCCCAAAAAATAATTATTACAGAAATCATCACAGAATAGCAATAGCTTCTTAATTCCTCATTTTAATTTGAATATTCCCCCTCTATTTAAAAAAACAGTAACAACTTTTTCTTGACTTTATCATTGATTGATGTACTGGTTAATACTTACAGTAGTAGCACACCAGAAGTAATGCTTATGATCTACGATCTTGCGAAGTTAGTTTGTTGTCAGCATAAGCAGTTAAATTGTTAAGTTAAATGGAAGTAGTAATAAAGTGTTCTTGGTAGTGATACAGAAGGTTGTGATTTACGGACCCAGTACAGATAAACATTATAATATCTATTTAAACATATGTATGTGAGCAGTTAAGTTGCTTTGTTTTAAATGTGCTGTTTTATATTTTTGTAAAAAGTTAGTCGCAAACTGGAAAGATTTTTATTAAATGAGCAAGTCGATAGCTCAAGTCAGAGTTGAACAAGCCTCGACAAGTGGCTGTGGAGTAAAGAGGCAGAAATATCGCAAATATGATGATAGCTATTTGAACTTCGGCTTTATTTTGGTGTTGGTGTATTTAATTATGGCAAAGCACACGAGGGCTATCTGCCTAAGGGGGAGGGATGCCTTTCGTGGAGGACTTTCTAAGGGAAACTGGCTCGTATACACGTTACACATGGGGAAAACCATGAAAACGCCCATGCAGCCAGCCCGTTCGCGGGATTCGAACCTCGGACCGAACTACCAGTGTTCAGCAACTTTACCGCTCGGCCGCTGGTGGGCCTCGGCTTTATTTTAGTAGAAGTAAATAATGATGAAAGACCATATCGAGACCGCAATGTGTGCTGTATTTGAAAATTCTGTTATCTGAGAGTATGCTCCCAAGTAAGCTAAAATGATATCTGAAGACCATTCATCTAACCATGGTTGAAAAATCTCGCGAAGTTTTTAGGAGAAAATTGCAAAATTTACAAAAGCAAAAAATTGTATTCACTCAACAAGCTTCAGTACCTAACAACTCACTTCTAGCATCTTTCAAGTTGGCATACAGAGTGGTAAAGTGCAAGAAATCTCAGACAATCGCAGAACATACTTTTATGGCTGCTCTCCATATGGTTAATATTATGGTAGGAGAATCGGCGAGAAAACTAATTACAAAAATACCTTTATCTGACAACATTATTAGTCGAACAATCCATCATGTAGCCGAGGATCTCAATGACCAATTAATAGAGAAAATCAACAAGGAATTTGATATGCAACTTGATGAGGCTGCTGACAGTAATAAAGATGCATACATTATTTGCTGCTTACGTTTTCTAGATAATAATATAATTGTTGAAGACCTTTTCTGTCAAAGCATCAGTTAATGTGCAAGGGCTTAAAATTTATTTGAAATTTTTGACAAGTTTATAACAGGAAATAATTTAGATTGGAAAAAGTGTATCGGTGCGCTCAATCAT